TCGTGAGCCCGACGGACGCCCCTGGACTTCAAGTTGCATTGGCCTCAATGTTCCCCGATGTGGGGCCTGCCACATTCCGGGCGTCGGCCTGCCAGACAGAGCGGGGTTTCTTTAAAGCAGGTGACCTCGTCGTGTGCGATAATGCAGGCACCCGCGTCGTTGGGCGGTGCTTCGATTTTGCTGGCGGGTCTCTGAGTGACACGGGCCGACGCGCGTTTGGCGTCTCGGTCCAAGTGTGTGCGGAGATGCCAGGCGGCTGATGGGGCGCGCGCCAATCTTGGGCGTGGGCCCCTGTTGCTGCCATCCTCTGCGCGGTCCCGTACGTGGACCTGCGGCCAGGCATGCGGCCGCTGCTTCCAGTTCTGCAGCGGTTCTGAATCCACGGCGCGCTGGGGGACAAAACATCTGCCGAAGGCTCGCCTCGGGACAAAACAACTGCCGAAGGCTCGCCGCGGTTCCTCCTCCTCCTCCTTATCCTCCGCCTCCTCCTCCTCCCCCCCTCTCCAACTCCGCCTCCATCCCTCTCAAACTCCACCTCCATCCCTCTCCTCCTCCCCCCCCTCTCCAACTCCACCTCCACTCCACCTCTCCAACTCCACCTCCAGCCCGTCGAGCGAGGATCGACGGTCGTGAAACATTCGCCGTTCGTCGTGATCTATATATGTATATATATACATACATGAGGGAGAGATATATAGAGAAAGAGGGGAGATATGTGTATATATATATATATTCACACACGTAAAGACAACGAGAGGTATAGATAGACATAGAAAGATATATACATATATATATGGAGAGAGAGAGAGAGAGAGAGAGAGAGAGAGAGAGAGAGAGAGAGAGAGAGAGAGATGTAGAGCTAGAACGCGAGAGAGCGAGAGGGCGAGAGAGGGGCCCTCCCCCCAGAGGTGCCCGAGAGGGGCCCAAGAGTGCTCGAATAGGGCCCAATACATAAGGCTCATCGGGCTCATTGGGATCTTCGGGCTCATAGGACCAATGCGGGGCAATTGCCGCATGCACGTGGTGAAGTGTTGCTTCCGCTTGGGCCTCCTTGGGCTCATAGGGCCCATGTGGCTATTGGGGCCAATGGGGCTCCTTGGGGGCTCATGGGGCCCATGGGGCTCATGGAGCTCACGAGGCCCATCCAGCTCGCCCTCCGCCTCCCCCGGGTCTATTCTTCAGCCTTTTTGGCCCCAGGCTCCAGGGCGATGTGGCCCGCCCACGAGGAAGGCGACGCCTTCGACTTGCCACCGCCGCCAACCGAGGGTTACCTCGGGCCCAAACTTGCGCCGCAGGGCACGTTGTCTGCCCAGGACGAGGCGGCCATCAAGGCGACCACGGGCTGCAAGGCGACCGTCCGCGGCCGATGCAAGGGCAAGCGCAATCGCAATGGCGGGAGATTCCGGACCGTGCACGGCCCGCCTGAAGGGCTGCAAATTGCGCGGCGATTGGCGGTCGAGTGCATCAGGGGCAACGGCATCGGTGGCGCCAGGGAGACCAGAGAGCAGCAGTTGCAACATTCAGCGGGTGAGCGCCGACGTCAACAACAAACTCGGCAGCACCATCAGGATACTTCGGCATCATCAAGCTCGGCAGCGCCATCAGGGGCACCAACGCCGAGCTCGGCGGCACCATCGAGAGCCCTTGCATCCAGACCTCCAGCACCATCGCGTGCACCTGCCAGCGAGCCGATGTTCGTGCAGGCGCAGGGCGGGCGCGCAATCGACGTGGACCCGATGTTCGTGAATCCGATCACCGAGCCGACTTCCAGCCAAGGGGGCCCCGATCCCGTCTATCAAGATCTTCTTCAAGAGCTCGCCACCGAATTCTTCAGTTCGACTGCGGCGGTACATTCGACTACTATCGACGACGTTTCGGACACAGAGATGGAATCTCCACCATGCCCTTCGGCAGCTGCGGAGGAGGGGGAGTACCCTTCGCCAGCAGCCGAGGACCCTTCGCCAGCAGCCGAGGACGAGATCTTGTGAGAGCCCTCGGCCGACGTTCATGAAAACACTCTAGATTGCAAGAGGCGCGCCCTCCAGCTCAGAGGCGCGCCCTCCGTATACATATGTGCGCGCGGCCGCGTGCGGGGCAAAAAAAATTGGGGGCTCGCCTCGGTCGGAGGCTCGCCCCGACTGCGCCACCAGCATCAGAATCACCAGAGGGGGCCCGCGCGGACCCCAATGAGGTCCAGATGCAATGGGGCCCGCGGGGCTCCCAGAGGGGCCCAAGAGGGCCCCGAGGGGGGTCCGAGAGGGCTCCATGAGGAGGGCCCCGTACATAAGACTCATAGGGCCCATTGGGATCTTAGGGCTCACGGGGCGCATAGGGACCAGTGCGCGTGGTAAAGTGTTGCTTCCGCTCGGGCCGCCTTGGGCTCATAGGGCTCATATGGCTTTTGTGGCCAATGTGGTTCCTTGGGGGGTGGGGCGTGCGCGTGGTGGGGGGGGGGGGGGGGTGGGGGGGGGGGGGGGGGGGGCCCATGGGCCCATGGTGATCATAAGGCACACGGGGTGCCTCCACCGCCCCCCCCCCCCCCCCCCCCCCACCCCCACCACAACACCACTACCTTATCCGCAAGTGCGGGGGCGCGTCGTCGTCGTCGTCGTCAGTCGTCGTCGCCGTATTTTTCACGCTTCGCGTATCCCCACCAGCCCATCCCGAAACAGCCGCCAGGCGAGTTGCCTTGATGAGTATCTAGCGGGCCCCTGGCTGGCGAGCGCGGCGCGTGTCGCTGACCCAGCCAGGGGCCCGCTAAAGGGGGGGGGGGGGGGGGGTTAGGCGCAGGGGATCCCCCCCTGATCACCCCGCGCCTTCTCGGGCCTCCTCCCCAGCCCTGTCGGCGCTTGGCCGACCTTTCTGACCTATAGTGCTGTCGCGCCTCTCCGCCGCGAGCCTTCGGGTGGGCACTGGCTGCGCATCCCTCTCGGGCCCATCCCAGCCCTCTTGGGGCCGTAAGAGGCCCCCCAAGAAGGCTCCAAGAGGGGCCCAAGATTGCCCCAAGAGGCCCCCATGCCGACCCCAATGCAAATTCTGTTGGTCTCTAGTCAAAACGGCCGTTGACTAGAGACCAAGTGAGTCATCTAAGCGGGCCGTATTGGGCCCTCTTGGAGCCCTCTTGGGGCCTCTTGGGGCCCTCTTGGGGCTCTCTTGGGGCTTCTTGGGGACCTTTTTTTTTTTTTTTTTTTTTTTTTTTTTTTTTTTTTTTTTTTTTTGTTTTTTTTTTTTTTTTTTTTTGTTTTTCTTCCCTCTCGACTTGGCAAAAAAAAAAAAAAAAAAAAAAAAAAAAAAAAAAAAAACCAAAAAAAAAAAAAAAAAAAAAAAAAAAAACGGTCGATCCTGGGCCCTCTGGGGGCCCTCTTGGGGCCCTCTTTGGAGCCCTCTTGGGGCCTCTTGGGGCCCTTTTGTGGCAATATTTTGGGGCCATCTTGGGGCCATCTTGGGCCCCTCTAGGCCCCCCCCCCCCCCCCCCCCCCAAGAGGGCCTTAACAGGGCCCCATAGAGGCATCTCGTTAGACCACCTGTCGCCCAAAGGGCTGGTGGGGTTCGCATTTCTTGGCACTCGATGATTTGCGTAGATCCCACGCCTAACGCAGATTTGTTGGATCTCGTCGCCGTTCCGCAGCCCTTTCCAGGATTCACGTTCTGATAGGGCTGGCTTTCGCGCTGGGGCCGCTGGGGCGCATGGCGAAACCTCTCGCGTACACGCAGTTGAGGGAGAAGTTATGGAAACAACAGAAAATCACCACGGCGCTTCGCAACGAGAAGAAGCTGATGACCAGTAAGATCTACAGGCGCGACTGCGCGCTTCGCGCGATGAAGGAGGCTAAGAATGCAACGGCCCCCAAGGTGGTCAAGAAGAAGGCGCCCCCCAAGGTGGTCAAGAAGAAGGCGGCCCCCAAGGTGGTCAAGAAGAAGGCGCCCCCCACGGGTCCCAAGCCAAGTACACCGCCGCCACGCGTTCCCAAGCCAAGTACACCGCCGCCACGCGAGAAGAAGGATCAGAATATCGACGATATTATGAAGTACGACCCCTTCGGCATGAATGGGCTCTTCGCCGACAGTGACAGCTCTAGCGCCAGCGGCTAGCGCCAGCGTCCAGGCATAGCGCACTGCGGTGCCACGCGCGCGATGAGATGACGCGCCTAACGCGGGCCCCGAGATCGGGGTAGGCTCGCCGCCCTTAGCGATTTGAAAAATAGCCCCTTCCTCCCCCCGTCCTCGAGGTCCCGAGGATGCCTTGAGAAGCTCCCTGGATGTCCCCTCCCCTTTGCCCCCATGGGAGGCCCTCCAGAGTCGCAAAATTTGTCCCTAGGAGGCGCCCCAGAGTTCAAAAAAATGCCCCCCCCCGGGAGGCTCTCCATAGGGCCTCGAGCCAGCTTTATCCAAAGTGTAAAATAGCTCCGAAAATCTGCCATCCTCCGAACCCCCCCCCACTCCTTCGACCCCCCCCCCGCCTCTCCTCCGAAAACCCGGCTCTTTCGAAAAAACGCATTTCTCCGCGCCCCTTCCAACCTACAGCGCCTTGGCTTTGGCCCGAACAGTTCGGGGAAGGCTCGCCTCCCCTCCCGCCCGCGGCCGCGGGCATGAAGCGCCCATCCGCCTTCGCTGAGGCGAGCGCCGAGAAGGCCGCCAGGCCCGCGAGGCCGTCAGGGGGTGGGGGGGGGGGGCGAGGAAGATGAGGAAGAAGGAGGAGGGAGGAGGAGGAGGAGGTCAGGGAGTTCCTGCCTCCGCCCCGAGGTCCGCCTCGGGCTCGCAGGACGGCGATCAGGAGCGCCGAAAAGCCGCGGCAGGGCCACAAGAGGCGTGACCCCGCCGCGACCCGGCCGCGACCCGGCCGTGACCCGCCCGTGGCCCGTCTTGGTTCGGAGGCCGCTTTTCAAAAACAAAAAATATAAAAAAGGAAAGATTGTCATGTGCTTCCCCGTAAAAAATCAACAAAAAGAAAATTGGTTTTGTTATATTTTCAGCGACCTGTTTGGCGATGCCCTCTGAAGGAGCCTTTGCTTGGGGCTGGGGGTGCTGCGGGATCGGTCATCCCCGATGTGATCGACTGGGCCGTCGTCTTCCCCGATGGGCCCTCGCCCATTGACTTGGCCACCGATGATCAGCAGCGCTTTGGCCAGAAGTGCTGCAGTTGCCAGATCATCTTCCCCAAGGACGGCTCGATGGAGTTCAAAAAGATCACCAGCCACTCCTGTCGGTGCCACGACTGCGCCACACTCTACAAGCGCATCCAGCGCATGACCAAGAGCACGGGCCTGGACACTAGCAAGCTCACGGCTGACGAGCGCGTCAACCTGATGCGCGAGGCCCACGGCGAGATGGGCCCCGACCTCCAGAAGCGCCTGGAGGAGACGATCCGCGCGAGCAACATCCGCCGCACGTGCAGCAAGCTGACGGTCGGAGGGCCTTTCGAGGACCCTGCGGACGCGAGGCTCCGCTTTAAGGACAAGCCAGAGCAGCTGGCCAACATCGAGAAGTACGCCCAGAGACTGCATTGCCCCGTTCGGCGCATCCACTTGGTGCAGGTCCCGACCTACACGCAGGACAACACCACGGAGGACATCGCCGAGGAGGAGCGCGCCCGCAAGGTGGTCGGCGAGCAGGACATCAAGAAGCAGAAGCCCACCAAGGACGACACGGGGAACTCCGACAAGAGGATCAACGCGGCGGCGAAGAAGAAGGTGCAGGTTGAGGTCGATAAGCTCCTGGGCGCGGTGAACACCCTGAAGTCGCAGAAATGCCAGGCGACCGCGCAGGACATGGAGGGGGGCGTGCCGCCCCATGTCATGAAGTCGGTCGACAAGAACATCGCGGCCCTGGAGGCGGCCATCGAGGCGGGGAAGGGCCTGAAGGATGCCGACGGAGCGACGAAGGGTGATGCGACGGCCTACATCGACGATGCCACGAAGAAGGCAGATGCCGCCAGCGCCCTCGGCGGCCAGATGGGTTCCCTGATCCAGTGGGCGCTGGATGCAAAGACTCAGGAATCCACGGCGGGGTAGGGCGGGGCCACTCGTGGCGCCGATGGCGGCGGCACGGCCCGTCCCCGAACCTCTGGGCTGAGCCAGCCGAGGTTTTCAAGTTGCGATTCGATTGAGTTTTGCTTACAAGCCATGTGAGAGCTGGTGCTCTCCAACCACTCACGCTATGCGCTTGAAACATCATGCCTCCTCCTCGTCCTGCCTCATCCCCCCTCCGCCCCTTGAGGTTGACACGGGACACATGTAAGAGACAACGAGACGGAGAGGGGGAGAGGGGGAGGGGAAGAGAGTGAGAGAGATATGTATGTATGTATGTGTATATACATATATATATATACAACGGGAGAGAGAGAGAGAGAGAGAGAAATAGATACGAATACTTCACTTGGAATGCCTGGGGCCCCAGCCCCAAGATGCCCCCCCACCCCAAATGCGGCCCCAAGGTGGCTTCAATGTGACCCCAGCCGAGACGGCCAATCTATCCCAAGATGGCTTACACTATGCCTCCAAGACGGCCAAGATGCCCCGAGAGAGCCCAACATTGCCCCAATTTGTCTCCACGGCGGCTCAAATGCGCCCAAGACTGCCCGAGATGGCTTCAATCTTGTCCAAATCGGCCCCATCGGCCGCCCTCGCTCCTTATGCCCCACGTTCGCCCATGCGTCCGTAGCCGTCGGCTGATTGCGGCGCCCCCGCGCGTTTGCATTTAGCGCGATGCAGTTTTTCATTGGGTTTGCGTTGGTCACCATCCGTGGGGAATGCCAGGAGCTGTTCCCGACGCCGCCCACTAAGGATCAGGGCGCGACGCCGCCCACTGAGGATCAGGGCGCGACGCCTGCGCGCGGTCGACCCAGTCCCTGTCCGAGATCGAGCCCGACTAGCGGGCCAGCAACGGCAGACATCTTCGTTGACGGTCCGATTACCCCGCCGCAGTTGGCGAGGAGGGTGCCGAGGCGCGTCAAGCCAACCGCGTGGACTCCGAAGCTGCGGGACCAGAGAGCGATGGAAAGAGGGCAGAAGAGGACCGCGACGACGGCTGGGCTGCCAGCCCAGGTTCGGAAGGCAAAGTCCAGCCAGACGGGGGGCGCGACGGCCCGCGTCGACAACGGCCCGAAGGCCGATCGCAGTGCGCGCTCGCGCGGCAGTGAGACTAGGGTGATCATCGTAATCGATGATTAGAGTTGGTCTATACAGACCACGATGGGCATCACGTTTTTCACAATGCATTGCCGCGCGAGCTGGGAACCGCATGACTTTCTGGCGCGGCCTCGGGGCAACATCATCTGCCTCTTCCCCATTGCCCTGGCCGCTCGGAGGCTCGCCCCGACCCCGCGGCCAGGCGCCGTCTTCATCCCGCCCGCTCTCTCTCTCTCTCTCTCTCCTCTCTCTCTCTCTCTCTCTCTCTCTCTCTCTCTCTCTCTCTCTCTCTCTCTCTCTCTCTCTCTCTCTCTCTCTCTCTCTCTCTCTCTCTCTCTCTCTCTCTCTCTCTCTCATCTCTCTCGCCTCTCTCTCTCTCTCTCTCTCTCTCTCTCATCTCTCTCTCTCTCTCTCTCTCTCTCCCCCCCTCCCCCCCGCCCCCCCACGCGCCCCCATCCCACCCCCCGCCCGCCCTCCCGGGCTGCGAGTAGCTACTTAGGCCCAAGGTGCGCGTCGCGATCGAGTGGCCCCCGACCCGTCCTTGCCGCAGAGTTTGGGCGTAGCGATGGCCACGTTGGACCGAGTCTTTGCCGACACCGTCGCCTACTTGAGGGCCAACGTCACGGCTGCTGGCGGGGTCGGGGCGATCACGGCCGACGCGTTCAGGGCGATGCTCCAGGCGGGTCGCCAATCGACCCTCGACGGCATCTCGCGCAACCCCCAAGTGGACATCCAGACTTCGACGGCCTGCATCGACGCCCTGACCAACAGCGATTTCCCTGCCACGATGCGCCAGGACGCCTTGCGGCCAAAACGGCCCCCTCCTCCTCCTCCGTCTCATAATCCTCGATATGACCCGCCCTCCTCATCGCTCGCCTCACCCTCGCTAGCCTGATCACTCCGCGTCGCCCTCCCTCCCGCTTCGCCATCCAGGAGTTTGTCAGCCTGGTGAGCGCGCGCGTGGGCCCCCATCGGGCGCGCGGCACTCCGCCGCCTATGATCATGCAGACGCACTTCTTCATCCAGCGCACGCTGGCGGAAGCCGACTGGGAATGCCTCAGGAGCACGACCAGGCCCGTCCAGGACAAGATCGAGACCATCGTCGACCGCGCGGAGGCCCTGGGCTGCGTGTACCCATCGGAGATCACGCACGTCCATTGGGCCGCCGTGATCGTGACCGCTTCACAGGCGGGCGCTGGGGAGGCACATCACGCGATTAATGGCCACAACGCGCTGGGCCTGCTCGGCGACATGAAGGCGTGCATGAGGCGCAAGCGTTCCCGTGTTCGACTGCCCCACTACGGCGTGGTCACCGTGTACCCCGACTCGCTTGCGACGCTCCGCACCTTGCACCAGGGCTTGTACGACCACGCCTGCCAGTTCGCAGCTCCCGTGGGCAACATGGTGGACGAGAACGTCTTGATGCAGTTGAGGCGCAATGTGCCCAAACCAGTCGCCTCGCAGCCCCTCCCCTCCCCGATGTTATCTACATAGGTTGTCAGGGGGCGTGTGTTGATGAAGCTTTGGGTGGGGTGAATTCTTCAACGGGGGCGGCGAGCGCTGGGCCTTGGGCCCATTCTTTCGGCGGGGTATCCATGCCCGCTCGTCGCACCCACACGTCGGTGGTCACCCCTCCGCGCCGCGCGGCCGTGAGCCCCACGTACAGCATGGAGAACAACATGATGCAGATGCTGCAGGCGATGATGACGGGCCAGTTCGGCGGCCGAGCGAACGACGGCATGCTCCGCAACCTCCAGATCTTCCCGTCGCCGTTGCAGCTGCCGTTGGAGGACGCCCCCGCGGGGGGCGCCGCCGCCGCTCCAGCAGGCGGATCGGTGGCGGCCATCGCCGACGGATCGGTGGACGCGCGCGACGTCGAGCCACCTGCTGACGGCGGAGCGGCCCTGGACGAGTCGGCGCCCGAGCCTCCCGCGGGTGACGCGGGCGGCCCCATGAAGTACATGGGGGACAAGCTCAAGAAGGGCATTGACAAGAAGAAGAAGACGAAGGTGGCCAAGAAGAGGCCTTCCGCGGCGATGAAGAGGCCAGCAGCTTCTGCGTCGACCGCCCCCCCGAAGGTTGCCAAGAAGACGGGGGCCGCCCCGAGCCTGAAGTTCCCAGGGGTCCCGAAGGGCCCGGTGGCTACGAAGTGCATTCCCAACGGCTGGACCAGCTACACGAGCCTCAGCAAGGGCAGGTGGCGCGTCAAGGGGGAGGGGGCCCGCGCGGACCACGGCTTCCACTGGAACGCCAAGGCCACACGGCCAAGGAGGCTTGGGGCATGCTCTTGGAGCCCGTCAATTCTTTACGCTTCGCGCATCCCCACCAGCCCATCTCACAACAGCAACTCTTGCGAAGTGTGCCGACAGTGTTTTTTTTTTTTTTTTTTTTTTTTTTTTTTTTTTTTTTTTTTTTTTTTTTTTTTTTTTTTTTTTTTTTTTTTTTTTTTTTTTTTTTTTTTTTCAGGCGTGTGTCCGCTTGGCCCCGCATATTTCCCCTGCTCCTCTTTCGCCCCGCCTCCTTGCGCGTCCTCCTTGTGGGGGCAGCGGGAGAAGGACGACGCGGAAGAGGAGGGAGAGAAAGCGGTGGGAGGCAAGAGGGACTCAGCGGAGAGGACGATCTCAGCGATGATCTGAACAACGACGACGCAGCCGACGACGACGACGATCTCGACCGCGACGACGACGACCACAACCGCGACGACGACGACGACGACGACGACGACGACGTCGACGACGACGACGACGAAGGCGGCGGTGCGGGCCCTCGTTGTGTGAGTCCTTCGGCCCCGTCGTCCTTGTGTGAGTCTTTCGGGGCCCTCTTCCTGGTGTGAGTCGCTCGGTGTCCTCGTCGTGGGAGTCGTTCGGGCCTTTCCTCCTGGTGTGAGTCGTTCGGGCTCCTCGTGTTGTGAGTCGTTCGGGCTCCTCGTGGTGTGAGTCGTTCGGGCGCGTCGTCCTGGTGTGAGTCGTTGGGGCCCCTCGCCCTGGTGTGAGTCTATCGGGCTCTTCGTGGTGTGAGTCGTTCGGGCCTCTCGTCCTGGTGTGAGTCGGTGGGGCTTCTCGTGGTGTGAGGCGTTTGGGCACCTCGTCCGCGTGCGAGTCGTTCTGGCCCTTCGTAGTAGGAGTCGTAGTCGTCGTCGAGTCCAGCGATCTCCCCGACCAGCGTCGTCGTTGTTGCCATTCTGGCTAACAGTATTTCAGTGTGGCTGTGAGCTTCGCTCCGCCTACCAGGGATCCCCGATCTTCAGGCTATATTAGTATACACGGCTGTCAGGCTCAAGTTGTAGATTTCTTCAAGGCTTATCACGGGGTTTCTATGTGTACAAAAGCTGACAATGGACACTAGAGTCCGTTGGCGATCCTGCCGTCGCACGTTTCAGAAATGTCATGTTGTCTTGGTTGTTTTGTGTTCTGTTGAATCAGTTGCGGTCCTGTCTCAAGTTTTGTCTTCAAGTGAGTATTCCCCGACGACGACGACGACGACGACGACGACGACGACGACGACCCTGCCTCTCGCTCCGGGCGGTCGTCTTGGCTGCTGGCAGCTGGGCGGCTCTTGGCGGCGCCGGGCCTCCGCTGACTGGTTACAAGATGCATGTATGTATCTCTTGTATATGTAAGGTGTGTCGACGTATATGTATATATATATATATATATATGTATGCACATATATATATGTATATGTATATATATGTAACGGACGCAGTTGAGAGTCGATGGGGGTGGGGGCCTGGCCCGCGGCCTAGGGCGGGGCCCGAGACTCTGGGACAGGACCCTGGGTTTCATCATCGTAGGATGCTCATTGCTCTCCTCATCGCCATGCTGGTGGGGGAGGAGGAGGACAACTACCAACTGCGCGTTGGCGCCGCCGCCGCACCCCCGCGC